GGCAGTGTGAGTTGATCTTCAAAGAAAGGTAAACTCTACGTTTATTTATACTAAAATATTCATTTTGTTTCCTAAAAATTAGTTTTTACGGATCAAATCTTTTTTCCTTAGAAATCTTAATGACTATAAATCAATTGATGATTGATTAGTTTTAATTCATTTTGTTTCCTTATTTTATGGATTTATTAAATCTTATTAAATATTAAATTTGACTAAATATTAATTTGTTAGAATTTTATGTTTTTTATATGGATTTAGTTTTTGATTAGTTTATCATTTATTTTATTTGCAGAGCTTTTGATAAATTTTTGCAACTAACTCTACCATTTAATACAATCAAAATCATATAAAATATTTTTTAACTTGTCTTTTTAATTATCCAATGTTACAAATCTATTAAATTCAATTCAATTCAAGTTATAAAATCTTAAAATAAAATTATTTTATTTTTAATGATAAAAATTGGCAATGATGGATGAAAGAAATTATTTAATCAAACATTTTTTAATGAAGACCTTATATAAAGACTTTGAATTTTATATCATTATTAGAATTTTTTACTCAAATAACTCAACTTTTTTTAAAAAATTCCAAAATAACTCACCTTTTAAAATTATTTTCAAAGTACTCCAGTTATAGTTTAGGATTACACAAGGGTGTCAGATGAATTGGTGACACCTTGTTAAGGCTATAAGGGAGTCGCCAATTAGATTGGAGACTCCTCACGCAGTCTCCAATCCAATTGGCGACTTAGTGTTAAACTTACAAGGGAGTCGCCAATTCATCTGGAGACCCCTTGTATTTTGAAATTTTTTTCAAAAAAATAGATACTTCCAAAAATAATTAATAAAATACGTCGGACGGGAAAATAAATGTTATCATTAATTAAAAAAAAGTATTACATAAACTAATGTTGGCGACCGAGTTGATCATATCGGCCACCGGTTCCACATCCCCTAGACACCCTAACTCGTTGCACTCGTCCCCCATGTTGTTGATTCACACCTGGTGTTTGAGGAGTTGAAGTCTCAGGAACATTCCCAAATGGTTTCCGAAGGATCTCTTGTATTTCCATTAGGTCATGTGTGTTGAAATTGAGCGTGCGACCCATGCCAGAGTAGTTCGGATGTGATGAAGGGGTCATTGGTGTGCGGCCTGGACAGTTGAAGGGGGACATTGGTGTGAACGATTCGTTGGAGAAAGGTTGAAATGCTAGTGGTGTTAGGACAGGATATAATGTCAGAGCGTTTTGGTTATGGAAAGATGTTTAGGCGTTATGGCTATGGTATGATGTACCCTCATTATGGCTATATCTTGATGTTGTGTTGGGGCCATAGCCATATTGGAATTCTGGGTAGTAGTGAGTGTGTGGGAGATGGTATGGGGGACATTCTTGGTATTATGGTTGGGTGTTTGGTATGTTTGGATGGTGAATGGGTTGGTAACTCTGTTGGGTGGGGGGCTGTGAGTAACATGGCATTTCTGGTGGGTTAGACGTTCAAGCGTCTTGTGTGTAGGTGGTTTGGCATGGTCGTATAAATATCTGTCTTCAGAGACAAACCCAGTTGCAACCGATCTGTACCAAGCCATATAATTAGTAGTTGGTATAGATGGTGTTTCCATCACCGGGTCACGTAAGACATGGGCGCTGCGAGTCATCCATTTACGACGCTCAGAATTTGCAAAATCCTTCTAGTCGGGAAACTTCCATTGATCATTAACTCTTTTTAGATGCCATTTACTGATGTCAACAAGAGGATTTGGAATGTTTTGATGCATTCCAAATTGTAGTTTAACACGGTAACTGTTGTACATCTCCACAGTTGTGAATCTGATGATCGAGACGCATGCAGTCCAAACAACAACATCTTCCTGTCTGACTTCATGTAGGTGTTCCATGTTTAGATATGGACGTCATATAAACTAAAGAAGAGAAAAATATTAGATCGTTAAATAGTTGATATAAAGTACAAATTGATGTAGTTTAGAGGCCTTACATCTGCAGGTGTTAGGTGATCCAACAAATTGCAGTATTGAATGATCACTACAAGAAAAACCGGAATTAGCTAGGGGTTAAACCCCTCACTAAATCAAAAAACCCATCACAAAACCAAAATTTGCGAGGGGACAGAGCCCTTAGCTAATCAGCGCATCGCAAATAATTGGTGAGGGGATAAACCCCTCGCAAAAATGGTTAGGGGATAAGCTCCTCGCAAAATGTAATAAAAAAAATCCTCCTCCTGCACCACAGATGTAGCAACATACTAGAGTCAGAAAGGGGTTCAAACTTGTCACAACAGATTGCGGGGGGATAAGCCCCTAACTAAGTCACGTGATTCCTTAAATTAGTGAGGGGAGAATCCCCTAGCCAGCTGCGTAATGCATTTGCGAGGGGTTAAGCCCCTAGCCAGATGTCCCACATTTTGGGATTTGCGAGGGCTTAACCCCTAGCCAATAATCATATATTTTTTTTTAAATTAATAATTATATTGAAATAATTATATTAGAATAATAATATTATATATAATAAATTTTTATTACATTTTATAATTATATTATTATAATTAGAATAATATAATTATATAATAAAAAATATATATTAGAATAATAATATAGTATATAATAAATTTTTATTACATTTTATAATTATATTATTTTAATTAGAATAATATAATTATATAATAAATAAAATATATTTTAATATAATTATATAATAAATAAAAATATATATTTTGTAAAATAATAATTTAGAACTAAAAGTATAATAAAAGTAAATATTCAAATCCATCATTAAAATAAAAATAATTCATGACAAAAATAAAATAAAATATAAAAATATATATAATTCATGACACATTTAGTCAACTTCTTCATCATCCCCCTCATCCTTCTCATCCTCCTCATCTTCCTCATTTCTTCCTCCCACACCTTGATTCATATGCATTGCCATAAATTGTTCAAATTTCAACGCGGGCTCATTTGCAATCCGCATTGCTTCCTTATACTCCGCTGTTTTTCTCTTTAATTCTTCCTCCATCTGAGCTTGTCTTCTCCTCATTTCCTCCACCTCTGCTTGTCTAGCTGCTGCCTCACATGCTGCCTCGGTCTGAGCCAAATTTCTCACAGTTTCAAGCATATCAGCGGTTAATATAGGTGGACGCGATGATCCTTCTCCATCATCAAGTCTCATCCTGAAAGTCCTATCACGCCGCTTAATTGTTTTGACATACCCTCCAACACCATACACCCTTCCATTTTTCCTCTTCCCGCGAGCAGCATCATACCAAGTCTGAAAACCTAGACAAGGATCAACAGGGTATCCCTGTGGTGGTGGAGGTAACTCAGGATGCTCAGATAAAGAAAGTGCAAGTCTTCGATCATACTCCTCCTATACAAAAAATTTAGATGTTATAATAATTTAAATAAGATGACTAAATAACATGTTATAAAAGACAGAAATAAAATGACTAAATTTTAGCAAAACTTACTTGAGTTTCCTTTGAGCATTTATCGACAAACTCCCCATTTTTCTTGATATGAGTCTCTAGATGGATCTCATTAAGTATCAGAGTTCTATCCAACTCATCACGCTAATAAAATAAAACATATAAGTGAAACAATAGTTTGTTTTAATATAAATTTTAAATGAAAACTTAAGTAAAATAGATATATTTACCAGCCTATGTGCAATTTCAGAAACACTAATACTTCCTGCTGCGTAGTTGCAGCCACCAATTTCAGATGCCCTATTTTTTTTGCTTTTTCAGATATTTGCTTAAAGGATTCCGAATTCCAATGGTCAATAAGTTGCTTAAATACATCTTCACCTATCCAACAAGGACGTGTTCTTTTATTTTCCCAATTAATTCGAACACGTCTAAGTGTGTCGGATAATCGGGCAGCACATTTTGTATCAAAATTTTCTCTTACTTGTTGCTGCTCTGTAAAGTCCCAAACACATTTCTCCTACAAGAAATTAAATAATGTTAAATCATGAAATAAACTAAATATATAAGAAATTAAAATAATAGTTACTTTTATACCTGAAATAAACTAAACCAATCTTCCTTTTCTATTTCGTCTAGTGCTCCATATGTCGGCCAAAACTTTTTATACTTTTCTTTAATAACTTTTGTTATACACGATACTGCCTGGTGTGATGGTATAAGGCTAACCAAAAAAATCTTGAGTTACCTACCAAAAAAACTCAAATTTAAATTTTAAAAAAATAATATATAAAACATACCTTCCCCCATCGCAACGAATGACATATCTGCCCTTGTATTTTCTAATTGTTTGTAGCTTTGCATTTCTCAAAATGCGTGCCCTCCGTCGCTCCTCATGAGAACTATTAGGAGCACTAGTATCTCCATGATCATAAGAACTGGTACCTCCATGACCATGAGCACTATTATCACCCTCCTCACCCTGCTCATCATGTGTAGAATGCACAGGTGATGAATGTGGCATGCCAGATCCACCAGCCTCCGTATATGGCCTAGAATACTGCATGGAAGGCATCAGAACACTAGGCCCGCTTGAATTCATGGAAGGCATCGGAAAATATGAGGGATGCGGGGTACTGGGATGCATAATAGGTGCATATCCAGGAGGACTAATAAAGGCCGGCGCAGATATCGGTGGGAATGAAGGAAAATCAGGTGTGGATAGTAATCCGGTGAAAGATCCGCCAGACATGGGTGAAGTCTGCATAGGAGGTGGAGTAGGGGGCACAGACAATGGAGTAGGATGCACCTGACTCGAAAGTGGCATAGAAATAAACATAGACGAATCTGGAACCTCTTCTACAACAAACCTTGTGCAGCGAGCCTTACCCTTACCCTTTTCCTCACTTCGAGGTGGCATTTTAAAACTAAAATATTTCATAAAATGACAAAAGTAAATTAATTCAAGAAATTACACAAAAGTATTATATATATATATATCAATACATATTACATAGTAGTATTATTACACAATAGTATAATTACATAGTAGTATTATTCATCATTGTAATCGTCATTGTCTTCATCAGATACGATATTGTCGTCTTCAGAGTCTCCTGACTCTTCCTCCTCTTCTTCCACATGATTTGCTGATAACAAGATGGTTGCATCAACTTGTTGACCCACAACCACAGTATCACCCAAACTTGTAATCTCCTCAATTTCAATTACCCCATTCACGGGTGAAATCTCATCATCTTGGTATGCAACATCATCTTCCATTACACCGTCAAATTCAATATAACCCATTGGGTTGGACTTGATTACAACACACCATCCTCGTTTACTTGGTTGAATTGAAGGATAAGGAACATAGTAAACTTGCCTAACATTATGTGCCATTATGAAAGGGTCATACTCTTTGTACTTTTGATCCATTCGTATCTCAACAGTGTTATATTTTTTATCTATTTTAGTTCCTCTGGAAGATGGATCATACCAATCACAATAAAATAGGACAAATTTATTTTTCGAGTCTATATAATTATATACCAACTCATAAATATGTGTGATAACACCATAAAAGTCGTCCTCACCACCCTCTGTAACTCCTTTTACAACTACACCACTGTTTATTATTTTCTTCCCTTTTGTCCATGTTTGAGTATGGAATTTATATCCGTTTACAAAGTAAGTGTGCCATTCATTTGCACGCTGATGAGGGCCCTCAGATAAACTTCTCAAATGAATTATTTCAGGACTTGGTGCAACAATGCAATATAATTGTTGCTTGAACCATGCTGGAAAATAGGCATGTGTGTAACCTGTCAATGGTTGTTCACCCGTGCTTTGAAAATAATAAGTATTAAATGCCCTATTTCAAAGAAGAAAAAATATATGTTAAATAAGTATATTTAACAAAAAGAAATACAAACTTAATTTAATATACTTACTCAAGATATGGTTTAACTTCAACGTAGTTAATCAACACATGAACATGAGCAGATTGCATTTCTTTTTTAGACAACCAATGCACACTTGTCTTTCTAGAAGGACGACCGGGACGGCCAAAAACCGATAAGGTGAATTAACTTCTTTCACTAAAGTGAACTTCATTCCTTATGATTCTCGGAGTCAACATCATATGATTGAAATAATGTGAGAAAAAATGTGAAGTTTCTCGATGTAAATAATGTGCACATATTGATCCCTCAACTCTCGCCTTATTTTTCACAGATCTCTTTGAATCACCTATGAATCGTTCAAATGGATACATCCATCTATATTGAACAAGTCCACCAAGGTAAGCTTCGTAAGCAAGATGCACAGGGAGATGCTCCATAGAATCAAAGAAACCATGGGGAAATATTTGCTCTAACTTGCAGAGAATGATGGGAATATTTTGGTCCAACTTAAAGATGTCATCCACTCGTAAAGTTGACGCACCAATGTCTTTAAAAAATTGACTAATCTCAATTAGTGGATTAAGAACATGCTTAGGAAGTGAACTGAATGCAATTGGAAGCAATCGTTCCATAAAAACATGACAGTCATGACTTTTCATTCCATGCAGCTTTCCTGTTTTTGCATCAGCACATCTTGCTAAGTTAGAAGAATAACCATCGGGCATCTTCAACTCATTTAACCATCGACATACTGCTTTTGCTTCTTGGGGAGTAAGAGTGTAATAAGCCTTGGGTTTTAATAATTTTCCATTTGGTTGGGGTTTTAACTCTAAGTCTTTTCAATTACACAAAAGTTCCAAGTCCTTTTTAGCCTTCTCATTATCTTTTGTCTTGCCTTGGACATCCATCACTGTGTTAAATACATTATCAAAAAAATTCTTCTCAATATGCATAACATCAAGACTATGTCGCAACAAATTATCCTTCCAATATGGGAGGTCCCAAAAAATACTTCTTTTTGTCCAATTGTGAGTATCCCCATTTCCTGGAACTCTGCATGTTTTACCATTATCTGTAAATTTTGGCAGGTCACTAACACTATTCCATACTTCAGTCGATGGCAGTCGACGGGAGGAAGATCTGTTACTTTTATTCCTTTTCTAAAAGAATTCTTATTTTTTTCTAAAAACATGGTTCATAGGTAAGAATCTACGCTGACAGTCAAACCATGAACTTTTACCACCCATTTGCAAAGTAAATGCTTTTGTGTTTCCCATGCAATGTGGACATCCCATTTTGCCATGCGTACCCCAACCAGACAACATGCCATATGCAGGAAAGTCATTAATTGTCCACATCAAAGTAGCTCACATATTAAAGTTTTTTCTGCGAGACACATCATAAGTCCATTCTCCAATCCACAACCTCTTCAAATCATCAATTAAAGGTTGCAAATAAACATCTATTCCCGCTTTTGGACTCGACGGTCCTGTAATGAGGCATGTCAAAAACATGTAAGGTTTCGTCATGCACATCTCAGGAGGGATATTATATGGGGTAACAATAACTGGCCAACAAGAATAGGCAATTGCTGACGATTGGATATAAGGAGTAAAACCATCTGAGCATAACCCGAGCCTGACATTTCTGGGTTCTGCTGCAAAATCTGTATGTACTCTATCAAAGTGTTTCCATGCCTCTCCATCAGTTGGATGTCGCATCATGCCTGAACTATTGGAATTTGTATGATACCATGTTATTTGGCTTGCACTATGAATTGACGCAAACATCCTTTGCAATCTAAGAATTATTGGCAGATAGAACATGGGTTTCACTGCAACTCGTTTTTGTTTTTGATCAACACCTTTACTGTGAACTAAATACCTCGGACTCTGACAAAACTTACATTCCTCCAATCCCCCATCATTTGTACCAAACTCGTTCTCATAAAACAACATACAACCTCCAATTCAACAATCAATCTTTTTCACTTTTAGTCCCAACTTCGACACCATTCTCTTTGCATCATAATAACTTTTAGGCATATTTTCTTTCACAGGAGTCGCATCCAACATCATTTTTGCAAATAATTCTAAGCATTGATCAGGAACATTCCAATTTGACTTCGCGGCCAAGAGTCTCACACACATGGATAACATGGAGTCAGAAGACCCCTCAAACAGTGGGATATTTATTTCTTTCAACAGTTGATAAAACGTTTGCGCTTCCTCGTTCGGGAGCTCATCTGCATCAAAATCTTGAGGTTCATCATAAGTCACATTCACCTCTAATGCATCACCAACCATATCATCTATGAGATTAAATTGTTCATGGTCTTGCAAATGTGATTGACTGCTTGATGTCTCTCTGCCTATCTCAACTCCAATATGTGTTTGACTGCTTGAAGCCTCTCTATTCATCTCTGGCAGTATTTCTCCATTAGAATACCACACCCAATAATTTGGCCTAAAACCATCTTTCTCCAAGTGTCGTTTCACTTCATTTGGGTCACTAATTATATTTCTGCAACCACACTTTAAACACGGGCATCTTACCCCTCCTTCGCTTCGACAACATTCTTGAGCAAACACATAAGTAAGAAATGCAACAACTCCTTCTTTAAAATGTGGTTTAAGCCCATGACTTCCTGGATACGTTCTATCATACATCCAACTACGATAGTGTCGCGGTGAAAATCGGATACCAAACTATTGATTAGTTTGAATCTTTAGTTCATTTTGCAACCGAACTTTGATTTATCCAAAGGAAGGGATAAGGATCGAAATTCCCATAATGCAATGCAAATGCAAGGTTTAGAGAGTTTTAGGTTCGGGGGTTGGTTAAACTTAGGGAAGGTGCTAGCATCCTAAGTTTCTGTAGTGCTCTACAGGAACCTCTTGTTTTATGTTGTTTATTGCTATGTGTTATCTGCTTAAAGGTTGAAAGACCTAGGGGTTTATTTCTAAGTATACTCGATAAGATATTGCATCTTATGCCTACATATCCTTACGGGAGTGGAATCATAGTATTTGTAGTTCCCCTAAAGGGTTTGATGAGTTCTTTGACTGTGGTCAAAGTTCCTATGGGTTTAGGGTAGTTAATTGATTGATTTTAGGAGAAGAGATGAGTCTTCATCTTAAGAGAGATTTAACTGCCACAGGTGTAAGAAATTGTAGGAAAAATAGTCTTTGCATCGTCTTAAGAGAAGGGCTTAAGTACTCGGATATTGATCGACGAGTATGCCTCTATCTCTCTTAAGGCAAAGTTCCTACGGTATTGATTGTATTGATGTGGGGTAGAGATTCTATCTCGCTTAAGATGATTTGGCATCTTTCTCTAATGTGTTTGAATATTGTTTGATTGAGTTTATTGTTTGTTTCTATGTTGTAAAGAAGCCCTTCCTATGGGGTAGGATCTATCCTAGAGATCAACTTGAATGGGATCAAGGATCATGGGGAATACGATGCAAATGATGTGCACTACACACAAGTGTTGACTCATGTATAGGTTTTTCCTTTGGACGGAATGCAATGCAAGAATATAAATTGCGATAACGTAAAGGCAGATAAATAAAACATACATGGACGCATGAAAGCGCTAAAGTGTAAGTGAGAATTGTGTATGTGAATGTGGTTGTGCGAGCGTGCACGATTGATTACGATTTTAGTCGAGATTGATTTTAGGGGGGAGAGGTGAAGTAGTTTAGTGAGTCGATTTTAATGGTTAATTTGAGGAAAAAATATTATATTAATTGATGAGGTTGATTTTAGAAGATGTTAATTTAAGAGTGAATTAATTTATAAGAAAATTACATTGACTTTGATCGTGAATTATAAATTGATTATTATTATTATTTATTTCTTAACAAAAGTACGTTTGGTGATTATTATGATAAAAAACGGTTATTTAAATAAAGGGTTATTAGTTTTTTTTATTAATAAAGATTAATTTAACATTATCTTTTAAAAAACAGATTATAGGTTAATTAGCTTGTTAATATGAATTAAGGTGTAAATCCAGCGTTATGTGGTGCATTAGTCTACCATGGACGTGCAGTGTGGTCCACGTGATAAGGAGATAAGTGGATCGTGTGGTGATAACAGTGAGGGACCACGGTACTGCCGTGGTCGTGCAGGCACGTAATTCATTAGGTTACAAACAGTGTAAACACACAAGACACGAGAAACAAAAATGCAAACGGCGAACAACGAAAACCCTAGCGGAGCCGGTCGTTCACTCGCTTCCTCTCCTCGATTCCCTTCTCTCCTTCGTTTGTTTCTCTCTTCTGCTTCGTCTACCCCCTTTCTTCTTTTCTTCATTCTAACTGAAACACAAACAACATAATCAAACAAAAAATGACGAGATCAAAACAATCCTTACCACTTGATGGTTCTCGCCAGATTCAACAAGGGGACTTTTGCTGCGCATAATATTGGCGATTGGTGGCTTCGACGGTTGAGCAGATAAGTCCTCTTTGACTTCTCGCTTAGACTTACTTAGGGTTTTGTATTTTTCTTTTTTTTCCGAGTTTCCAATTTCACCGCGAGATCCCTTCTGCGCTCCAAGTTCCCCTCTCTTTATAGACGATTTTTGGGCCTTGGGTTTTAAAAATCTGATTGAACCCTTGATTGCTAGCATTAAGACCTTCCATTCTTGTTTGGTCAGGATTGGAAACGTTTCCATTCTCGTCTGGTTGAATTAATGTCGCTGATGAGGGTTAATTGTTGTATGATTTGTTTTTTTTAAGAATCTTTCGATTGATGCTAAGGGATCTAATAGGATATGAATAGGATATATTTTTGAACAAGGTATATTCCTTGATTGGTTTACTAACTTTGATTTGCGTTTTGGCAGGTGTATAAAGCGAATGAGTTTGGCCAGTAGGTGGATTAGAAACCCAGGGGGGAGGCTTCGTGTTTGGGGAGGTTTGTAAGATTAGGTCTGATGTAACTTTCTAGGGCCATTTGGATCAATTTTACGGTTATCTTGGAATGTAAGCCTAGCCTGTAATGTTTGTAATGTTTGAAGCTCAGAATGATCTTGTAATTCCAAACTTTTGTACCTTTTGAACCTTGACAGTTATTGCTTGGATTTAGCATTCTCACAA